GTCCAGGGAAGGAGGTGCCAAGCTCCCACCGTAACGTTGCGGTGAAGAAATCCAGCACCCCCCTGAGTGCCACAACTCCCACAGTGTGGGGGGGACACGAAGGTGGCCGTGTCACCTCCCGGGGGGGGGGTGTGTCCCTACTGTCCGTACACCCCGAAGGCCAGGAAGCTGAAGAGGACGGTGACAGCGATCAAGGAGACGGTGGCCGGGGCGGTGAAGAGCTGCCGGTAGTTGATGTGGAAATACCAGACGACCCCCAGCACCACCATGACGGCGGGGAGCAGCAGGGTCCCCGCACCCAGGGGGAGGCCGCTGGCTTCGGGGGCGGCCGTGACGGGGTCGGGCAGGACGGTGGTGGTGGTGGCAGCGGTGGTGGTGGTGGTGGTGGCACAACGGGAGCGGTGGCAGTGGATGACGCAGTTGTCGGTGATGTGGAGGGAGCGCAGCGTCCGGCCCTGGTCCTGCAGCAGCTGCCCGCGGTAGATGAACTTCATCTGGTTCTCCTGGCCTGGAAAATATTTGCTGTGGAAGGAGAAGGAAACATCAGAGGACTAATAATGGCCTCAAGTTATGCCAGGGGAGGTTCAGGCTGGATCCTGATGGAGAGGGTCCAGAGGAGGGCCACAAGGATGATCAGGGGGATGGAGCACCTCTGCTCCGAGGACAGGCTGAGGGAGCTGGGGTTGTTCAGCCTGGAGAAGAGGAGGCTCCGGGGAGACCTAATAACAGCCTTCCAGTACCTGAGGGGGCTACAGGAAGGCTGGGGAGAGCCTGTTTAGAAAGGCCTGCAGTGACAGGACGAGGGGCAATGGCTTCAAGCTGGAGGGGAACAGATTTAGACTGGAGATGAGGAGAGGGTTCTTCACTGTGAGGGTGGTGGAGCACTGGAACAGGTTGCCCAGGGAGGTGGTTGAGGCCCCTTCCCTGGAGATATTCAAGGAGAGGCTCGACGAGGCCCTGGGCAACCTGGTCTAGTTGGGGGTGTCCCATTAGGAAAAATTTTTTCACTGAAAGGGTTCTCAGCCCTTGGAATGGGCTGCCCAGGGAGGTGGTTGAGGCCCCATCCCTGGAGGTGTTCAAAAGACGGGTTGATGTAGTGCTGGGAGGTCTGGTTTAGTGATGATGCTCCTTGTTTGTTGTGTGGGTGTCTATTTTTGTCAGTCAGGTTGACGGTTGGACAAGATGATCTTTAAGGTCCCTTCCAACCTAGAAGATTCTGTGATTCTGTGACTCAGAGACCTGGGGATGTGGGGAAACCCCCCCGCAAGGGTCCCATCTTGGAGAGGGGGGGGGTGACAGCGGTGGCATTGCCACCACATGGACCTGTCTTTTAAACTCGTTATTTTAAACTGAGCATCTCCTCGTTATTTTTGGAGAGATCTCTCCGAGCAGGGGGGTAGTGGCACAGCAGGAACAGATAAAAACCCTCCACCCTTCTCAGAATGGTGGGGAGGGGGCTGTTTGTACAAGGGGGGGGGACACACACAAAAGTCTCAAGGGGGGGGGGGGTTTGCAACCAGGCAGCGCTCCCGTTCGTCCCTTCCTCCCTCATGTCCCTCCTCTCCCTCAGGACTCACCTCTTGAGCCCCCCCACGGTGTCCTCGGGCCGCACCACGGCCACCTCCTCCGTCTCGTTGAGGAATTTGAGCCGGATCTTGATGAGGCCGGAGCACAGGTCGCCCCCCCCGGGGCTGGGTGTCCCCCCCTGGTTGCCCGGGGGGCCGGGCTCAGTGGCCGAGGTCTGTTTGGGCAAGCTCTGGATGTCCAGCAGTCGCTCCAGCCCGGGGTCGGGGGGGCCACCAGCATCCCCTTGCTCCGCCGCCAGCCCCGATGCTGCCCCCCCTTCCTCGTCTGTTTTCTCCTCTGTGTTTTCGGGGACCCCGGGGGGCTCCGGGGCTTCGGCCGCCCCCGCCGTCCCCACGTGGCCCAGCCGGATGACGGCCGTGTCCCCCGCCGCCACGATGGTTCCCAAAAGCTGGTTGCTGCTGTCAGCCACGTAGGTGGACAACCACGCCAGGACCAGAGCCAGGACCAGCACCACCACGCCGGCCACCACCGTCACCTCGTCCCCCACCCCTCGGATGAAGGTGGTGGCGGGGGGCTCCATCTTCAGGGCTGGGAGTCCCCCCCTCCTCAGCCCAGGAGCTTCCTCTCTGCCTCAGCTCCGCCACCAAGTCCCCCCAGGCTGTTTTCTGGTCACCTCAGGCCTTAAAATAAATCCCAGCGCTGCTCCAACGGCGCAAAGAGCTGGAGGGAAGGGAGATTTATTTACAGCAGACGCATCTTTTTACTACTAAAACACTAAATCTGCAAAAACCAGGGACAGGGTGACACCCGTGGGGCAGCCCCCACCCCGCCGTGGGGAGCCCTGAGGGGGCTGGGGAGGTGGCAGCCCCTCAGGAAACGTGGGATTTCTGTTAGGAGGCAGAACGTACGGCTCAGGAGTTAATTACCTCGTCCCCACTGGGAGGGAGGGCGATGCTATCGCTTCCTACGCGCCAATTAGGAACACGGCACCTGTAATTACAACCCCAGCTGGAATCGGGCCGGGGTCAGGAGGGAGCCGTGCGCTCGGCGGGGCCGTGCTCACCTCGCTGGGGCTGGTGGAAGGTCCTGGTGGGGTCCCAAAGCCCCTCGATGCCAAACCAGGGTCATGCCATCCCCACGCCTGGATGGGAACAGAGAAACGGCCATCAGTGGGGCCAGTGACCCAGATAACGTTGGTCAAAGCCTGCCCAGATCTTTCTGCAGCAGCCCCTTGCCTGGGGAAGGGATAAACCCCCTCCCCAGGGCTGGGGGGGGGTCCTTGGCAGGCCCCGGGAGACCCCAGTGGGGCACAGGGGGTCCCTGACAGGCCTGGGGGGTGTCCCAGTGGGGTGCAGGGGGGCCCTAACAACCCCAGAGAGTCCTTGGTAGCTCTGGAGGGTCCACGACAGGCCTGGGGGGGCCCTGTTTTAGCCCAGGAGAGGGCTGCCAGCCCCACAGGTCCCCCCTGGAGGCCCAGAGGGCATGGGGAGGGGTCCTTGCTGGCCCCAGGGGGTCACTGCCAGGCCCAGGGGGAACCCTGCCAGGCCCCGGGGGATCTCGGTGGAGCCCAGAGGGGTCCCTTACAGCCCCAGGGGGTCCCTGATCGGCCCCGGGGGCGCTCTGTGGGGCCTGGGGGCAGACTCCGACAGGCCCTGGGGGTCTCTATCAGGCCCACAGGCCCGGGGAGGCCCAAAGGGCCTTGGTGGGGTTGTGTGGGAGGGTCCCTGACAGGCACGGGGGGGGTCCCAGGTGTTCCCAACAGGCCCCGGGGGTCCCAGATGGGGGTCTCCGACAGGCCCGGGGGGGTTCCGGTGGAGCCCAGATGGTCCCGGGGGGTCCCTGACAGGCCCGGGGGGCGTTCCGGTGAGACCCGGGGGGCTTCTGGTAGAGCCCAGAGGGTCTAGGGGCTCCCTGACAGGCCCGGGGGGGGGTTCCGGTGGAGCCCAGAGGGTCCAGAGGGTCTCTGACAGGCCCGGGGGGCACTCCGGTGAGACCCGGGGGGGTTCCAGTGGAGCCCAGAAAGCCCGAGAGGACCCCTGACAGGCCCGGGGGGGTTCCGGTGGAGCCTAGAGAATCCCGGAGGGTCCCTGACAGGCCGCGGGGGGCTCCGGTGGAGCTCAAAAGGTCTCAGGGTCCCCTGACAGGCC